TGACAAGAGTGAAAAATAAAGGAGGATAAACGGAGCAATAGAACAAAACACAACCACAAATGAAGATAAATATGAATGAAATTTTATGCAATCATAACAAGAACAAATGGCTGATCAGGGGAATACAAATGGATGCAATCATACAAATGTATGGTTGTGCATGTTGTATTGTATTGTTACTTTGTGAAGATTAGGTCATGCACATCTGTCCACTGATTTTCCCAAAACTAAAGGAATACCAAGTATTTACAATGTAACAATGTTATATTAGTTTATTTTTCATATTAGAATTTTATGTAAAAATGTTATATTAAAATTTTTCCACTAGGCACAAAGATCTATAAAATAGCACCTCTATTGTTTAGAGAAATCCATTGTTCCGTGGTCCATAGTGTTTATTATTTGGCTTGTACACTATATAATCAGGGAATGAATCACGTTTCAACTCATGCCAAGCTATTTTGCAATGTGAAACTAAGGGTATATATTGCACCATATTTTTGTGCCATTCTACTCAAAAAGAAATCTCAAACGAGACATTACTCCCATGTGGACTTAGGCGAGCTAGATCAAATTTTTGGAATAATGACATGCACCATGACATAAAAGGACTTAGGTTTCTTACCGGAAATCGTGAGTACAAAGGAAGAAACAATAAACTTCGAGACAATAATTCTAGCAAACAAAAATGAACTTTCTTAACCAAAGCAGACAACCAAAATTCAAAAAAATTAAAAGGCAGAAAGGAAAGAGTACTCACATTGCCTTCCCCTCAAAGGGCAAAAAATATGTCTCCTCCAAGGATAAAGGCTGAATTAACTCCACCAACACTTGTAAAGATTGTAGGTTTCTCTCCACTTTGAGGCAGGCCATCATCATTAATCCAGGCTCAGGCTCTTCAGGAAGAAACACCACGAATTTCCCATCTTGCGGGAGGCCAACCAAAATGGGGGATGGTGGAGGGCGACCGTGATAAGACAGTGAGGTAAATTGATCTATAAGACATGGCGATTGAAACCATGTTTTAGCACTAACATGATATGCATACATGTACATGTCAAAGGTGAACCAATAGAATGTATCGTTAGTGAACACTGCGTTTAGATTATTGGACGCACGCCCTAGTGGACGAATTTTAGCCTTATCACCAAGACCTTCTGGAGAAGGATCCCAAGAATGACTCCACAAAGCAAAGTCCTTCTGGTCTTCGATTAACTTGGATATAGTACCCTTAGTTGGATCGAAAAACATGATACAACCCTTTAACAAGGAATAAAACACAATTTGCGTAGGCTCATCTTTTTCCACAGAAATAGCAACTTCAGAGTAAGGATCATAGGGAGCAAAAGCATCGAAATCATCATCAAGGTACTTCCAAGTTTTGTCCTTGATATCGTAAATTTCACCACATTTGGGACGATCATGACATGTGCAGTGATTTCCGCCCACAACACATAGTTTTTCCCTACCAACAGCTGCGACGACGGGCGACATACGGGGACAATTCAGAGAAGATTCGATCTGCCAAAAGGCAGGATCAGATTGTGTCATGCTATGCTTAACCAATTTTTCACTAGGGATAGACCCAGAAAGACCATCAGGCAAATATCCACCAGCGTAGTAGATGTCGTCACCAATAACAGCCCAATTTCCTGCACTTCCATAAATAACCGGATTGAGCTTCGCAACCGGAGAAATCTTTTTTATAGGGAGGATTATCGGTTGGCCTGAATTATCATCATCCTTTGTCAACAACGGATCCTTTGTCACCGGCACATCGATGCAATACCACCAATCAAACTCTTCATCTAGCCCGTGGAGATAGACAACAACTGGAGACCCCCTCTCTCTCAAACCCTCTTCATCCATTCTTCTTCGAATCAAATCGGCTGGCTAATTTCATCCGTATCGTCAAGTTTCGGACGCCATATAGTTAGGTTTTACGTGCCTCCCTTTTTTCGTTTTCTTTTTTGGCTTTTCTTTTTTCGAAATTCCCTTATAATATAACTCAATTGCATTTATGCCCCAGTGATTCTAAACAGTAACACGTAATACCCCTATATTTTATGGCCACATATATTTGCTGCCCCTTAAACTTAGCATCATTCCTATTGTCACACCTCCTTTTTCCCGAGGAGATAGGGAGTTTTTTCAATTTAAGTGACATTATTCGTAATGAGATTATTTATTGATTCTGAGTCGCCACTTAGCATAATTTATGCTGTTCTAAGTCACAGGTTTATTTTGAATCACAAATCGAGGAAACTTAACTCTATTTAAAGTCTGCGAAAACCAGAGGATCAGGTAGAAATTTTGTTAACCTGGGAGAAGGTGTGAGGCGAATTCCGTGATTTTAGCACGGTCGCTCAATAATTAATAATTGGCCTAATTGTCTGAATTAAATATTCCAAACATATTGTGCATTTTTACCTTTTAAACCGCTTTTAGTATTTATTTAAACGCTTTTAATACTTATGGAAATTATTTGAACAAGTTGTGATGTTGTGTCTTTCGTACATATTGCGAATAGCGCCACGTGAAATGCACCCGCGATTTACAATATATTTATTTATTATTAATTGAAGTTGAGGTCAAGTCGCCACAAACGCGCACTTGAGTTGGGATTTATGTATCGTGACCATGCCACGACAACCGTGTCCATGGCCACAATGATTTATTAGTCGCGTATAAAGCCAGCTACGATGTTCATGAATTATTTTTCATAAAACTAGTTTGAGATTATTGTGAGGCCATGAATTATGGAAATGAAATTTTGATGTGGAAGTCAAGAAATATTTTAGCTAAACGGTTCCAACACAAAACTTATGAATTACTACCAAATTCAAAGCATAATAAGTAAACAAAGCTAGGTTCTTTCGGTGGCCGAAGACAACACTTTCTTATTCCCTATTTTCAATGTCCTGCGTCAACAATTCACCTTCTCCATGATAAAAATTCCACTTCTCTATACTTTTCACATGTGCTGTTAAGTTCTTCTTTTTGTTTTCAAATATAGAAACAGATTATTTATGGATCTTGTTAGTCATTTTCCCTGTCAACAGTATTTTCGTGAAACAATATTATTTCGCAAGAACAATTGTTTTGCTTTTAGATCTTGATGTCTTGAACTTCAATCTAAATGCATGGTTTTGGACGTTGTTTCTCTTCTTGAGCCGTGCTTTAAGAGGGAAGTTGTTCCTCTAGCCAGTAAAAATAAGGAGTTATGTGAATGCGCCTACGATGCCTAGGTGTAGCCATTGCCGAGGTTAACATTTTATCTGGNGAAAGAAGGGTTGAGTTATGACAAAGTATCTATTTGGTGTGTTTCCTTGTTGCTAATAGGTAACTGCTTAATTGTTTTTGGTGCTTTGATTGCTTTCAGTGTTGATTATAGCTAACTTAATTTGGTTGAATACTACAGCTTAGCTATTCATTTATTCCCAAGTACCAGCAATTTGCTTGCTTTGCTAGATCTAAACTGTTAAAAGAATGGTATTAATTGCACATGTATTCCAAAGTACCAGCAATTGAAAATCTAGATAAACTTTTACATGTCTCAGATGCAGTTTTGTGGAAAGTCGTAAGAAACACCATCTAGCTTTTCCATCTTTTCCAGTTTGCAATGCTCACACGTGATACCAAACAAGAGAGCCCTAATTGTCTTCCTTACATAGACACTAGGGGGACTGGAATGGTTTTGGACTTTGTAGTGAGATGGGGGTGAACTCATGCTCGTTCTACAAGGCATATGTTGATTCTGGCGAGAAGGTGAGTTGAAATTACATGTCCTGATGGTCCGGAAATTGTGTTCCTCCTCACCAACCAAACATTGATAAATATTGTCAATTCACTTACCAAGCACAAAATATCTGAGGAAATCATTTGTTTCCCTTCATGCCAACACATCACGAGGGGGGGAAGGGATGAAAAGGAGCAACATTAAAATGTACAAGTTACCTTCGCTCTAGAAGGCAAAGATAAAGCCTATACAAAACACAATCTTATACGTTTTTATGTCCATCACAATGCAGCATATTTATGTACAAGCTAAAGCACAAAGTTTAATATACTAATAAAACTAATTGAATCAATTAACTTAGAGAACCAAACAAGACCGACACAACCCTTCGAACGAGATGCCTGCAATTCGAAAAAAGGTTTTAGAGAAAATATCTCCACAAGAGCATCTGCATCAAAAAGATAAAATATTTACAGCAACCACAGCAAACTGGTAACTTTTGCTGATCATAGAAATGCAAATTTCTTGCCTTAAAGGGATCATACTACAAATCCATTACAGCATTACAAAGATCTTCGCCTTCACCAAAAGATTCATAATGATAGTTATCAAACAACTAAAACTAGAAGTTTAAGACATTCGAAATTTGGAGAGTTGCCAAGTCGAAGTACTGAAATTTCAGAACTTTTGAGTAACAGCAATTTCAAATGTCTTGACAACTAGAAAAATTCCCAAACCAACCAACAAAAGAAAAGCCAGGCATTAAACTGACTGCTGGTTTATAAGAAAATGGTAGGATAACAAAAATTACAACATTTTTAAGGGCGGTATACGGAGATTAAAAAGATGGATGCACTTCAAAATTTCCTGTTTCATCTATATATCCTATAATTTTCCAAATAGAAAGAGACAAAAATATGAAAATCCAACAACCACTCACCATTAGATCTCTGTTGCAGATCAAACTCATCCGCAGTGGCGGATCCAGGATTTTAAAGTCGTGGGTGCTCACTGATAAAAAATTGAAAGAAGAGGAAAAAAGAGTTTAGTTATGGGTGCTCAATCAATATTTACCTAAATATATTTATAATTACCTATACAAATTTACTAAATCTTGTCAAAGATAATGGGTGCTTGAGCACCCAAAATTAGCATGTAGATTTGCCCCTGCTCATCCGTGCATGCTAGTTGACCCAGTATTCTTCAACCTTCAACATTCATGTCAAGAAAAAAAGCATTAGCAGAATTCAAGCAAAGTAAAACGTCCACGGGAGGAAAAAAAAGAAGGATGAAATTTCACTCGCAACTAATTTAAGTTTCTCGTTTTTACACATAATCATACAACTATAATATTATACTTTTGGGACTTCCCGAAAGTTAAAACATCATCATAGTATTTGACAAATGCATCTACTTAGTGAACTTTCATCAAATTGGTTAAAAAGATTCATTTTATTAGATCTAGTACTAACCTATGTTGCTCGGACTCGGTGAGTTATGGCGTATGCAACCAGGCATGAGTTTGATGCCTTTCAAGTAACATATCATGTGCTTGAACGTGTCCATGTNAAGAAAAGGATTGGATGACAAGAGTGAAAAATAAAGGAGGATAAACGGAGCAATAGAACAAAACACAACCACAAATGAGCAGATAAATATGAATGAAATTTTATGCAATCATAACAAGAACAAATGGCTGATCAGGGGAATACAAATGGATGCAATCATACAAATGTATGGTTGGTGCATGTTGTATTGTATTGTTACTTTGTGAAGATTAGGTCATGCACATTTGTCCACTGATTTTCCCAAAACTAAAGGAATACCAAGTATTTATAATGTAACAATGTTATATTAGTTTATTTTTCATATTAGAATTTTATGTAAAAATGTTATATTAAAACCTTAGCACTAGGCACAAAGATCTATAAAATAGCACCTCTATTGTTTAGAGAAATCCATTGTTCCGTGGTCCATAGTGTTTATTATTTGGCTTGTACACTATATAATCAGGGAATGAATCACGTTTCAACTCATGCCAAGCTATTTTGCAATGTGAAACTAAGGGCAGATATTGCACCATATTTTTGTGCCATTCTACTCAAAAAGAAATCGCAAACGAGACATTACTCCCATGTGGACTTAGGCGAGCTAGATCAAATTCTTGGAATAATGACTTGCACCATGACATAAAAGGACTTAGGTTTCTTACCGGAAATCGTGAGTACAAAGGAAGAAACAANCGTAGACTATAAAATAGAACCGCTTACAACTTGATTTCAAGAATATATTACAGCTTCAATACAAATAGGATAAATAATTATTGGGATTGGAATTGAGAATTTTACCATTTAGCTCCAAGAATTTCTCAGACTTGCGTGCCATTGCAGAGAGAAACTGAACAACTACACTTGTGATTGTGTTTGTGTTTTTATCGGTCCAAAAAGTAAAATCCCCAACCCGCGACCCGCCCCGCATAATTTTTTTTTAAAAAACTGAACCAGCCCCGCCCCACCCCGCAACCGCAAACACCCAAACCCGCACCGCCCCGCTAACACTCAAACCCGCACCCGCACCGACTCATTGCCATCCCTAACCCCTTCCAATATCCAGTACATTCAAGAACCAAAAGAAAAGGATTGGATGACAAGAGTGAAAAATAAAGGAGGATAAACGGAGCAATAGAACAAAACACAACCACAAATGAGCAGATAAATATGAATGAAATTTTATGCAATCATAACAAGAACAAATGGCTGATCAGGGGAATACAAATGGATGCAATCATACAAATGTATGGTTGGTGCATGTTGTATTGTATTGTTACTTTGTGAAGATTAGGTCATGCACATTTGTCCACTGATTTTCCCAAAACTAAAGGAATACCAAGTATTTATAATGTAACAATGTTATATTAGTTTATTTTTCATATTAGAATTTTATGTAAAAATGTTATATTAAAACCTTAGCACTAGGCACAAAGATCTATAAAATAGCACCTCTATTGTTTAGAGAAATCCATTGTTCCGTGGTCCATAGTGTTTATTATTTGGCTTGTACACTATATAATCAGGGAATGAATCACGTTTCAACTCATGCCAAGCTATTTTGCAATGTGAAACTAAGGGCAGATATTGCACCATATTTTTGTGCCATTCTACTCAAAAAGAAATCGCAAACGAGACATTACTCCCATGTGGACTTAGGCGAGCTAGATCAAATTCTTGGAATAATGACTTGCACCATGACATAAAAGGACTTAGGTTTCTTACCGGAAATCGTGAGTACAAAGGAAGAAACAATAAACTTCGAGACAATAATTCTAGCAAACAAAAATGAACTTTCATAACCAAAGCGGACAACCAAAATTCAAAAAAATTAAAAGGCGGCAAGGAAAGTGTACTCACATTGCCTTCCCCTCAAAGGGCAAAAAATCTGTCTCCTCCAAGGATAAAGGTTGAATTAACTCCACCAACACTTGTAAGGATTGTAGGTTTCTCTCCACTTTGAGGCAGGCCATCATCATTAATCCAGGCTCAGGCTCTTCAGGAAGAAACACCACGAATTTCCCATCTTGCGGGAGGCCAACCAAAATGGGGGATGGTGGAGGGTGATCGTGAGAAGACAGTGAGGGAAATTGATCTATAAGACATGGCGATTGAAACCATCTTTTAGCACTAACATGATATGCATACATGTACATGTCAAAGGTGAACCAATAGAATGTATCGTTAGTGAACACTGCATTTAGATTATTGGACGCACGCACTAGTGGACGAATTTTAGCCTTATCACCAAGACCTTCTGGAGAAGGATCCCAAGAATGACTCCGCAAAGCAAAGTCCTTCTGGTCTTCGATTAACTTGGATATAGTACCCTTAGTTGGATCGAAAAACATGATACAACCCTTTAACAAGGAATAAAACACAATTTGCGTAGGCTCATCTTTTTCCACAGAAATAGCAACTTCAGAGTAAGGATCATAGGGAGCAAAAGCATCGAAATCATCATCAAGGTACTTCCAAGTTTTGTCCTTGATATCGTAAATTTCACCACATTTGGGACGATCATGACATGTGCAGTGATTTCCGCCCACAACACATAGTTTTTCCCTACCAACAGCTGCGACGACGGGCGANAAAGGATCATAGGGAGCAAAAGCATCAAAATCATCATCAAGGTACTTCCAAGTTTTGTCCTTGATATCATAAATTTCACCACATTTGGGACGATCATGACATGTGCAGTGATTTCCGCCCATAACACATAGTTTTCCCCTACCAACAGCTTCGACGACGGGCGACATACGGGGACAATTCAGGGAAGATTCGATCTGCCAAAAGGCAGGATCAGATTGTGTCATGCTATGCTTAACCAATTTTTCATTAGGAATAGACCCAGAAAGACCATCAGGCAAGGATCCACCAGCATAGTAGATGTCGTCACCAATAACGGCCCAATTTCCTCACTTCCATAAATAACCGGATTGAGCTTCGCAACCGGAGAAATCTTTTTCATAGGGAGGATTATCGGTTGGCCTGAATTATCATCATCCTTTGTCAACAACGGATCCTTTGTCACCGGCACGTCGATGCAATACCACCAATCAAACTCTTCATCTAGCCCGTGGAGATAGACAACAACTGGAGACCCCCTCTCTCTCAAACCCTCTTCATCCATTCCTCTTCGAATCACATCGGCTGGGTAAACTTCAGATCTAGGGTTCTGTAAATCTAAGTCGGCTGGCTAATTTCATCCGTATCGTCAAGTTTCGGACGCTATATAGTTAGGTTTTACGTGCCTCCCTTTTTTTCGTTTTTCTTTTTGGCTTTTCTTTTTCCGAAATTCCCCTATAATATAACTCAATTGCATTAATACCCCAGTGATTCTAAACAGTAACACTTAATACCCCTATATTTTATGGCCACATATATTTGCTGCCCCTTAAACTTAGCATCCTTCCTATTGCCACACCTCCTTTTTCCCGAGGGGATAGGAAGTTTTTTCAATTTAAGTGACATTATTCGAAATGAGATTGTTTATTGATTTTGAGTCGCCAATTAGCATAATTTATGTTGTTCCAAGTCACCGGTTTATTTTGAATCACAAATCGAGGAAACTTGACTCTATTTAAAGTCTGCGAAAACCAGAGGATCGGGTAGGAATTTTGTTAACCCGGGAGAAGGTGTGAGACGAATTCCGTAGTTTAGCACGGTCGCTCAATAATTAATAATTGGCCTAATTGTCTGATTTAATACATATTCCAAACATATTGTGCATTTTTACCTTTTAAACCGCTTTTAGTATTTATTTAAACGCTTTTAATACTTATGGAAATTATTTGAACAAGTTTTGATGTTGTGTTTTTCGTACATATTGCGATTCGCGTCACGTGAAACGCACCCGCTATTTACAACATGTTTATTTATTATTATTTGAAGTTGAGGTCAAGTCGCCACAAACGCGCACTTGAGTTGGGATTTATGTATCGTGACCATGCCACGACAACCGTGTCCATGGCCACAATGATTTATTAGTCGCATATAAAGCCGGTTACGATGTTCATGAATTATTTTTCATAAAAGTAGTTTGAGATTATTGTGAGGCCATCAATTATGGAAATGGAATTTTGATGTGGAAGTCAAGAAATATTTTAGCTAAACGGTTCCAACACAAAACTTATGAATTACTACCAAATTCAAAGCATAATAAGTAAACAAAGCTAGGTTATTTCGGTGGTTGAAGACAACACTTTCTTATTCCCTATTTTCAACGTTCTGCGTCAACAATTCACCTTCTCCATGATAAAAATTCCACTTCTCTATACTTTTCACATGTGCTGTTAAGTTCTTCTTTTTGTTTTCAAATATAGAAACAGATTATTTATGGATCTTGTTAGTCATTTTCCCTGTCAACAGTACTTTCGTGAAACAATATTATTTCGCAAGAACAATTGTTTTGCTTTTAGCGCTTGATGTCTTGAACTTCAATCTAAATACATGGTTTTGGACGTTGTTTCTCTTCTTGAGCCGTGCTTTAAGAGGGAAGTTGTTCCTCTTACCAGTAATTTGAATGAGAAAAGTTTAGAAGCCACGAGACGACTTAGAGAAAGTGTTCATGAATTCCCAGCAACAACCCGGAATGACGTTTACAACAGATACATCACAAAGCTAAGGATAGAAGAAGATACCATTTCACAATCCCAAAAAGAAGAAAAGGTAAGTTCGAGACGTTCAGAAATCAAAAAAAGATCCGGTAAAAATAGATACAAACCATATATGGGCCCAGTGGGAAAGGTTTCACGATCAAAGCAGGATAATTCAAGGTATGATCATAGATCAAGGAATAGAGAGTTGGGTTCATCATCGAGGTTTGGAAACAATCGAAACACATGGGAGACACGAGATGATGATAGAAACTTGAAGGCAAGATTTGGCGGTTACAATTTTAACGTCAGTACTTCAGAGTTAGTAGCCGTATCAAGAAGCATGGGTGATAAGGTGTGGTGGCCAAAAGAAATGAGATCAAATACAAATAGATGTAATCCTGGCCACTGGTGTGAATTTTACAACGATCATGGTCATAAAACCGCAGATTGTAGGTTGCTACAAGGGGAAGTCGACCATCTGTTGAAACAAGGGTATCTTACTGAATTATTCAGTGAAAAAGGTAAGCAAACATACATGAAGAACAGGCAAGAGCCCCCTAAACCTCCTTCTCCTAAAAGGACTGTTAAGGTTATAAGCGGGGGCGAGGAAATCAACGGCGTAACATATACGAGGGCCAATAAAGTTTCTAAAGTTACAATTACCCACAGAAAGCGGGTACGACATGTTTTGGAAGAAGAAAGTATTACATTTGATGATGTAGATGCAGGCAGCGTGTTAACGCCTCACAACGATGCATTGGTAATTTCTCTACTTGTACATGATACTAATGTGAAACGAGTTTTGATTGATCTAGGTAGTTCCGTGAACATTATTTTGCTAAGAGTATTAAACGAGATGCAATATGAAGACAAGCTAGTACCTAAGGCACATACTTTGTCTGGATTCGACAATTCAAGCGTTGTGACAAAAGGGGAGGTAACACTTGCAACCTTCGTAGAAGGAGTTGTCAAAGATACGAAATTTCAGGTTGTGGAGATGGAAATGGCTTACAATATGATTTTCGGGAGACCCTGGATCCACGAGATGGATGTTGTCCCATCTACCTTACATCAAGTTATTAAACTCCCATCACCATGGGGAGTGCGTCAAATCCGTGGGGATCAACAGACTTCCAGGAGCATCAATTATGTAGCAGATTCAAGTGCAAAAAATGAAGAAAAGTAGCAATTACAAAATCCAATTGAGGATACCACAACACAGGCCTCAACTGAACAAGGGCAAACAGATGTAGACTCAAGGCCCGATTCCATTCAAGAACCAGAAGAAAATGAAAATATCAAAACAACAATTGAAGAGCTGGATGTTTTAGAGTTATTTGCACAATGGCCTGAAAGGAAAGTCTACATTGGGGCCAACTTAAGCCACGACACGAAAGGTAATCTGATTGAATTTTTAAAAACAAACATGGATTGTTTTGCCTGGTCTCATTCTGATATGACAGGAATACCCTCGGAAGTAATGACTCACAAGTTAAATGAAGATCCATCGTATTCTCCCGTCAAACAAAAGAAGAGAAATCAGGGGACTTTCAAAAATTTGGTGATTCAAGATGAGGTTCAAAAACTATTAAAATTGGGTCTATCCGCGAGGTAAAGTATCCTAATTGGTTAGCCAATACTGTAGTAGTACCGAAAAAGAATAGCAAATGGCGAGTTTGTAGATTGCACCGACCTTATGTCGCGCCCCCTTTTTCTTGCAAAATCGGGTTTATGACATTTAGGAAGACAACTCGTTCCCTTTTGGAAATTGTTTAGGAATTGAAGAGTCACCACCAAATGATTTAAGTGCATTAGGACACTAAGAAAGGTTTAATTTGGATAACCAGAGCTTGGGTAAGGGCTTCAAATTATCTCAAGGGGAAGATGTTAGGCACCCCTCAAGATCCACTAGTGTGGTTCTCGGCCAAGCTATTGTAGTGACTTAAGTGCGAATAATACATAGGAAAGTAAGAGTTTCATATAAGAGAGGATTTTCATGTAATGGTCACAAATAAACAAAATCGGAGGGAACTAAAGAGAGTTGATTTTCTTAGAAGAAATGGTTTTAAAAGATTTAAAAGAAACAAGGAACAAAGGGGAGGGGGTCCTAGGTTTACTAATAATATGGATCACCCCACACAATATCCGGTAATCACTCCTTAGTGAGGGGCTACACGTGATGTTATCACGTGGTCATCATATCCATATCTACCCTTTCTTGCCCCTTTTAAGGTATTAAAGCGTGGAATGATCTCGTTCACTTATTGCATGCTATTACCTGCCCCAATCCTATCAGGTCCAGAGGTACTTGGGACTACTAATCCTAAAAGGAGGAGATGTTGGGCTTGTTTGTGGTTTCAAAAGGTAAAATACTAAGGCGACAAACAAAACATATATAGCAAGTTTGGGGGAGCATATAAATAGATAAAAAGCGCTCAAACAGACCTCATTTAAACCAAAGAATAGCACATAATGTAGCATGACTTGCACGTACTATTTAAGGTCTAATTAAAATTTAAAGATTTGAGGCAGACTAATTTATTACATAGTTAAGATAAGAAGCCCGAATCAGGCTTGCCTGCTGGTTATAGCTAATAAAAATCTGATTCAGTTTATAAATTTACCCTATGGCTTGCCTAAGTGTTGGACGAGGGTCATATAGGCATGATATCTACTGGTTTCAGGAAAATTGAATACGTTCTAATTTAAGAAAAAGTTGTCAGTTATTAAAGAAAGGCAAGTTTTAGCAAAAGATCATAAGTTCTACAGCTAGTAATGCATTATTATTGCAGGTTTTAGACTTATAAGCGAGTGAGGTAATTCAGATTTGATTAACTCCTATATTCATGATTTCTATTTGTTTGTCGACTTTAGAACACATGGATAGACATAGTAAAAATGCAGAAACCTAATAGACATGACATCTAGATGCTGGAATTTACATGAACATGATATTTAATCGCAGTTGGTTATTTAAGACCTATAAACGTGTTTGCCTAATGAAAAGTGGAGATGTAAGATTCAGAAAGTCCTATAGGCACATTTTCCATATATGCAGAGTTCAGATTTCGAATAATCGTAGACATGGTATCTATAGGAAATAATGCAGGATTCCTATAGACATGGCATCTATATATGAGCATGCAAGATTCCTATAGACATATCATCTATATGTGAGCATGCAGGATTCTTATAGACATGGTATTTATATGAAAGAATGCAAAAATTCATATAGACATGATATCTTTATATGAGAGTGCAGAAATTCCTATAAACATGATGGAAAGTCTTCTAGGAACAAGTTCTTTACCGCAGCAAGTGCTTCTTCTTCGTCTGTCCCATAAACAATGTCAACCTGTTGGAAAGTCTGCTCCATAGGTGGTATTGGCTGTTCCAGTGGATAGTAAGGACCGCGCCATGGTGGAAACCATTAGTTGAATTCCTCCCAAGTATACTCATATCCCAATCCGAAGGTGGTGCCATGTTTCTTTAGTTTGATAGGCTTAGCGATTCCCTGGAGGTTCTTGCCAAGCCCCTTGCTAGGTCCCACCATTTGTCCTTAACAACGACGTTGACTCGCTCGATGTGGTGTTAAGTTTCCCTACCTATCCTTCTTTTGCCTCCTATTGCTGGGATAGTTTGGCGACTATATATGGGATTGCTATCGTCGTTGTGAATGATCACCTCTTGGTGGTTCCATTCAAACTTCACGGCCTGATGTAGTGTTGATGCTACAGCCCCAGCGGCTTGAATCCATGGTCGTCCAAACAACAAATTGTAAGATGTTGGCACGTCTATCACTTAAAAATCAACTTCGAACCAAGTAGTTCCCATTTGTAAGCACAAGCTAATTTCCCCAATAGTGGACCTTTGGGATCCGTCGAAAGCTTTGACGTTGATGGCCCCGTCCTTGATCTCATGCAGCCCCTTTCCTAATGTACTGAGTGTCACCAACAGACAAATGTTGAGGCTGGATCCTCCGTCAATCAGGATTCTGGTGATAAAGTAATCTTCGCACTGCACGGTGATGTGCAATGCCTTGTTGTGACTCATCCCCTTTGGCGGCAGCTCATCTTCGTAAAAAGTGATCTTGTGACTTTTCAATACCTGCCCTACCATGTTTACCATCTCTCCACCAGTGATGTTACTTGGTACATATGCCTCACTCAGCACTCTTAACAAGGCATTCTTGTGTGCATCGGAACTTTGTAGCAAAGCAAGGATAGAAATCTTTGTCGGAGTTTTGTTTAGCTAATCAATGCCTGAGTATTATTTGGTTTGTATCTTTCCCCAGAGATTGTTGGTCTCGGTTTCAGTGATGGTTGGCCGACTAGAGGCCTGCTTGTTTGACTCAGCCAAATGCTCCAGGGTATAAACCCTGCCGGTCTTATCATACCCTGTGCCACAACGGCTTCCCCGAACTTGACCTTCCCCTTTCTTCTAGCCTCGGCTGTGTAGTCCCAAGGTATAGCCTTTGTGTGGAATGGTGTTACTGCCAACATTGCCACTAGAATTGGCGTAGCTATCTTTACTCCAAACGGAGCAGGCCCCTTAGGTGGTAAGACTGCAACTTCAAAGGGTATAGGTGTATTTGTTGGTGACATAAGCTCAACCTCAATTGGCACTGGCATCTTTGCATAGGATGATGCTTCAAACTCGAGTGGCATGGACATGTTTACCTCGGCGTCCCCAGAAGGCTGAATCTTGACCACAATCGGATTAAGGGTGACTACTGGCTTCTTTGGATCATCGCCTTCTGTGATTAAACAGATTGATCCTTTGGGTTCCCAGTCATCCTCTATCTCGATCACGTGAACACCTCTACCCTTGTGGTCTGGCAAAGGGTTATTGCGAACATTCGGAGCAGGCTCCTTTGCTACAATGATCTTATTATCAATCAAAGTCTGGATCTTATCCTTCAGAGAGCGGCATTCATCAATGGTATGTCTTTTCATGTCGGAATGGTATGTACAGGATTTATTTGGATTGACCCACTAAGAAGGGTTTTCGGGGGCTATGGCAGGGATATGGGTGACATAACCAACAGTTTTGAGCCTTTTATACAGTTGGTCAATTTGTTCAGCAATGGCGGTATACTTTTTGGGAGGTCTGCGGTTGAAATTGGGTTGAGATCTAGGGAAGTTTTAACGCGAGGGAGGTGATTGATAGTGGGATGGTTGGGTGTTGTAGGCTTGGTAAACATGTGCTGGTTGGGAGTATTTGGGTGAAGTGGGCTGATATGGGGGAGGTGGAGATGACTGATAAGTGGGTGGTAAAGTATGGTAAGAGGGTGAGGGTACTTGGTAATTTGGGGTAGGCTGATATGTGATTGGAGGTATTGGGTATATTTAGTATTTGATAGGGGATTTGGTCCTCTGTGCAACCATTACAGCACCTACGTCTCTTTTTTTGGACGTACCACCAGACTGTAAAGCCTTATTAGTAGATTGCAAGGCTTCAAAGTTCGTAACCAAACCACTTTTGATGCCTTCCTCGATCCTTTATCCTAGCTTGATGATGTCAGAAAATTTGTGATTCTCGATCAGTATCAACCTCTCATAATACTGTGGGTCCTGGGCCCGAACGAAGAATTTGTTCATTTGCTTTTCTTCCAAAGCAGGCCTAACCTTAGCAACTTCTGATCTCCATCGAGTAGCATACTCACGGAATGTTTTCGTGGGTTTCTTCTTCAAAATTTGAATATAGAACACATCTGGTGCATTCTCCGTGTTGAACCTGAATCTGTCCATAAAATCAGACGTCATGCTTACCCAGTTCGACCACTTCTTCGGATCCGAACTAATGTACGAAGACAAGGCGTCTCCCTTCAAGATCCTCATGAAAAGCATCATGTGGATTTTCTCGTCTCTTCCTACTCCGACTAGCTTGTCACAGTATGTTCTCAAGTGGACCCTGGGATCCCCTGTACCATCAAACATCTCGAACTTGGGAGGTTTGTACCCCTCGGACAGTTCAACATTGGGTTGTATGCAAAGATCTTCATAGTTTAGCCCCTCAATTCCCTTACTACCATCAACGCCTTGAATTCTGCTAATCAACCTTTTAAGCTCTTCAGCCATATTTCTGTTGAGCAAGTCCTTGTCATCGGACTCGGGTGTGCTTGAGATGGGCTGGGTGGAGTGTGACATAGTCTCCACGTAGATGGGGGTATTGTTTTGGGTGTGG